CATACCTAAACCCAAACACAGCACTCAATACTCGCAAATCAATGGTATGTCTGGAGTGAGACTTACGATGCAATGCCGAGAGACGAGTCAAGTCGGAAGGGGAGACGCGACCGCTTTCTAACAGTTTGATTGCAATCAAATCGGCCGAACTGTTGGCTGAAGTGCACGCTATGATCCGACTCTCAGGGATCTTATCGAACACCTGAAGAATGGTCTCAACGATTGTAACAGTCTTTCCAGTGCCGGGCGGACCAAAGATTATGTAAGGCGTGGGTCGGGAGTGGCCCTTAAGGGCGCCGATGACCGCCAGCTTCTGTTGCAAATTCAACGACTTATTGAACCAATCAATCGATTCAAACGGAATCCTCTTATAGGGCTGTTTGAGAATCACTTTGTTGGGGAACAACACCTGTCCGACCAAATGGGGCGACAGATCAATAGCGTGATGACAGCGCCTGAATGTTGTGCTGAATAACAAATACACTTTAATAGGTAACCAATGAGCTAAGGATACGATCCAATACCGGCTGCAATGAAAAATCACTTTATAAGTGCCGCCATCGAAGTCCCGGTGAAAGTCCTCGTGAAAGCGCACAAGAATCTCGTCCTTTTTGATCTGAAATGACATTTAAAAATATTTACAAAACAAAGCAAAATCAATAGACAATGAGATAATCACGTCGTGAATGAATGCTTCGTAACCGATAGTCTTTTTCTCGGCACTGGCGAGAGATTTATCGTCAAATGCAATCAATTTATCACTAATTATAAGACTGGGTCTGCCATCTGCCAGTCCCGGCACAGTCAGGGCCAGGAATCGACCGGTACGTCTGAACTGAACCCCATTCATGTCGTAACTCTGGAGATTGAGTACGTTTTGACACTCCTCTAAGTACATCAAAGCGTGAAATTTGAGTCTATAGTTGTCTTGAGTGAGCGGTTCATTGAGTTCCGGTGCGACCGAGTCGACGGACCAATTGTTTTCGATGGCTCTCCACAAGGCTTCGGGAACCTTATAGTTCTGGAGTTTGTCGAAGATATGCTTACAGGGATTCCATACCCTCTCGCCGGCCATTATCCACGTGTCTGCGCCGTATATACGGCGTCGGCCGCGCCTACTGTCTGTGAATTGGTTCAAGTTCTCAACGACTGTCACGGATACGAAACGTCCGATTTTGAAGCCATTGAATGCGAACACAAGGAGTTCCGTATAATCGCCGCTATATCTGAACAATTCATACAAGTATTAACTCAACAATTGTTTCATTTCTCAAGACTTACTTCGCATCGCATATGTCAAAGTGTATTCTGAGGCTAAACCGGCCATAAAGTTTACCGCCAAGTGAGCCGAATGGCATTCTGAGGTACTTACTCACTTTGGGATGGACAACAAGGGGAAGAAGCCGGAGTGTGCTGTGGTTTCTCTGCGCTCTTTCGCCGCGATTTCTGTTGCCATTCATTTCGACACAAATACTCATTTCAGTCACGACTCGTGAAATGAAATCCGCAATCAATACTCACTTAATGTAAATCAAAATCTCTTTCTTCGAGCCGAGTATCATATCTCCGAAACTGATTTTGTCTGTTATTATCATTGAGTTCTTATTGTCCATCAGTTCATTGGTAAAGGCGTCCACTTTATCCACATTCCCCTCATCCGGATCATAGAGTTTATTGTAGGGAATGGCTCTCCAATTGTATACATTATTTCGGGTCTCAATTGCAATCACTTTAATCACGTCTCCGACAGTCAAGTGTTCCGTGTCTTCGGTTCGCCGAATGACAGCCTTTCCATCGATTCGGACAACAATTCAATCAATCATTTCAAAGACTCGTCCAATCATTGCTCACATGTTTGGAGAATATGTACCGCAAGTAGTTCTTCTGGTATTCAGTGATCTTTCCCGTCAGGATCTTATAGCGGATCGGTTTCACCACTACTTCGTGGTTCGCATTCGTCTCCACATCAATGAGATCGCCGTCGAAGAGTCGCCCAAAAGTGGACCTCTTTTCACACGAAAACAGTTTTGTATATAAGATATCAATTACCAGATAATGAGTGTCAGAGTCAGACTCACAGTGTATTTGATGCGATGCTTGTCGTCGACGACAATCTCGTGATCGCCGACGCATTTGGTGACCAACCCTTTGATGGACTCATTCTTGGCGTTAATGTCCAGCAATTGTCTGCCGGTGTGCGACAGCCCTTCCTCCACAGCGTTCCACTCGTCGTTCCAAACGCCTTCGCCTTCCGCGGGATCAGTGGGTCCGCGGTCTTCGTGGCCGTCCTCCACATCCGATATATCGATGTCTGAGCTACTGATGGATGAGTTGTCATCGACAGGACCCACACTCTCGTCGTCGCTCTCATTGTCCACCAAATGGTCGTTCAGCTGCTCTTTGATGAGGTCTTCGCCTTCACTGGGTTTGAGGGGGACTCGCGGCTTTGGTCGCTATCTAAATTACTTACTTTTGTATTAACAGACTGTTTACCTACTTACCTAGTCGCTAACTCACTGCCGACTTCTGATCACAAAGCACAGTAACTCACTCACCAGCAGTGTTTGACTCAAGTGTTTGACTCAAGTGTTTGACTCAAACAGTCAAACAGTTTGACTGAACGTGTGATTCGTTGCCCACAATCAGCACATTGTCACACAATATCCACTCATAGGCTGTGCTTATATAGAGTGATGCAATGGATGACAGAGTGAATGTGCGCTCACTTTGAATCAGTGGCACCACTGGTTGAGCAAACTTTGAGCAGTAAAAGTGAATTAGTAATGATCATTGATCAAGCACATTTGCACATTTGCTTTAATTGGTGAAAAAGCGGACACTTATTAATTGTTAGGTGACAGTGTTATTAATTGTAGGATAAGTGGTGTGAAAACTCATAAACTTATCTCTTAAGCAATACCGTAATAAAATATACCTATAGAATATTATTTATAGAATATTATAACTCAAATTATATAATCAGGTTCAACTTGAAAAGGCTGATGGTTTGAATGAATAAAGTCATCAGGGTTATTACTATAATTCAATTTAAAAATTCATTCATTATTTATTTTCGTTAATTATTTTAAATACCAAATAAATAAATAAATGAGTTATAATTAAATACAACATTTTACATGAATTAGTATTATGTTTGTCTATATTATGTATTTATAAGGTCTTGGGTCATTTGACCTACGGGACATTTGACCTACGAGTGTTTACCTACAAAATATTGATATTGTGATAACTTTTGAACCATAATAGATAGATGGGTGTTGTAATGGAATGATTTGATGGATTGAAAGTGAGGGTATGAATTATCACCATAGCGGTTCCAGGTTAGTGTTTACCTACAAAATATTGATATTGTGATAACTTTTGAACCATAATAGATAGATGGGTGTTGTAATGGAATGATTTGATGGATTGAAAGTGAGGGTATGAATTATCACCATAGCGGTTCCAGGTCATCGGACAATGTCATGTGATACATCATTATAATCAGCTCGATGAGTATATGTAGAAAATGACTTCTTGAGCTGGATCTGACAATATTCCTCGATGGTCAATAGAAGATAATTACTTTAAATTATACCAAAGAAGTGATGTTATACATCGTTGAAGTCAGCTCGTTGAATCGGTATAGAAAATAACTTCTTTGGTATAATTTAAAGTAATTATCTTCTATTGACCATCGAGGAATATTGTCAGATCGAGCTCAATAAGTGATTTTCTATACCTACTAATCGAGCTGATTCCAACGATGTATCACATGACATTGTCCGATGACCTGGAACCGCTATGGTGATAATTCATACCCTCACTTTCAATCCATCAAATCATTCCATTACAACACCCATCTATCTATTATGGTTCAAAAGTTATCACAATAAAAATATTTTGTAGGTAAACACTTGTAGGTCAAATGTCCCGTAGGTCAAATGACCGAATACCATTTATAATCACAACACCTTTCATATCACAATCAAATAGTATTTAAATAATACATAGTTTTTTACTCCAGATCTCAAGTTTTACATACATTTCCCTCATTCTGTCAATATTGTTGTGGCAATTAAATAGTCAGTCATTTGGGTTCATATGAATTATATTGCAATCAAAATGTAGTGTTTATTAAAAATAATTATTTATTTAACAACTTAAATGTCACATAAAATCTATTGTAAATAAATATCAGTGTTTCCAATGGTTTCTAAATGTGATAATTATTGTTATCAAAAGCTATTGTAATTCACTATATATTCAGACATAATAGTTATCACATATTTTCAATGACAACACCCTTTCATATCACTATACATTTGGACTTCATTTTGTGTTTTGTTACAAATAATTAACTGTTTAATTTTAAAATATATTTTTATATTTTAAGTTTTATTTTTTATTTCAATAAATTTTTATATTTATAATTGCGCTCAAAATGTGTGAACTTTTAAATAAGTTTCGCATTTGCGATAGGATTGACGCGAATATTAAACACGAAATTAAATTATTTCATGTTTTCACTGGACATATAATATTTGTGACAAACAATGACTCAGTTTATGGTATGGGAAGTAATACTAGTGGTTGTCTGGGTTTGGGTCACAACAAGGAAGTGAATAGACCACAAATTATACCACAATTATGTAATCAAAGGATACAACAGTTTATTAATGGAACGGACTTTGTGCTGGCAATCAATCACATGAATCACGTGTTCAGTGGGGGTCACAATAGTAAGGGACAGTTGGGTAGACGTACTAAAAAATTACTATTTTTCGACACAAATTATGGAAATTATGAAAACATATCAAAATTGTATGACAATAATTTCACACAAGTATGTTGTGGTAGTCGTCACTCCCTGGCCCTCACCACCAATGGACAGTTGTATGCGTGGGGTGACAATTGTTGGGGGCAAATTGGCAATAATACAAATATTTCAGCATGGACACCTGTATTGATTGAATTTGAGAACAATTATAAAATCAAAAGTATTTTCTGTTTAATTGATAAATCATTTATCATTACTGTCGAGGGTTTGGTATTCAGTTGGGGTGAGAATATGTTTGATGAATTGGGGTATCGTGGTAGATCATTGTCACCCAAATTGATCCCAAATCTTAATGATATCAAATCAATAGATTCATCTTGTAATGATAAAGGCATGTTTACGTATTTTCTATCGAATAATAATATAATATATATATGTGGTAAGTATACGAATGAAATGAATGATATGAATGGATTGCATACAAAAAGTACCCCGATACAAATTTCAATGAACTTAAATGTTGAACAATTTAATGAAAATCATTCATTTTATTTTTCTGACCGATCAATAATAAAAGCTGATGATATAATATGTGAATTAATATCACCAGTTGAAGTGAAACAATATAATTACACTAATTTTGTTGATTATTACGCTAATGAACGTCAGATAAGTTACAATACATTAAATATCAATTCTGATATAATTGAAGGTAAAGTTATTTAATATTAAATATATTAATCAGTGCATAAAAATTTATATTATTATTACATCATTATTAAATAGTCTCCTAATAATATAATGTATTTATGTTTATAGTATCAAAATTGGAAAATAATTCACTGGAAAGTCATTACAAAAACCTTTTCGAGGAGTTGTCGTCAATAGGTTCGGGAGGTTTTGGAACAGTATTTAAAGTGAAGCATAGATTCGATGAACACATATATGCCGTTAAAAGAGTTGAATTGAAGGGTAAATATCAATGAAAAATATTTTACAAATTGTTCAAAATTCTTAAAAATACTTACAGATTCTTCTGATGAATATATGAATAGAATTCTGAATGAAGTAAAGAATTTAGAAAAAGTTCGTTCAGAATATGTAGTCCAGTATTACAACTCATGGCCCGAAACCAACTTTCTTTACATTCAAATGGAGTTCTGTTCACAGAATTTAAGGAATATTCTCGAAATTAAACTAAAAGTATTTGATAGAGAATTAGGAGAAGCCATGAATTGTGTCGAGTATTTCGTTTCGTGTGAAATATTCCGTCAGATCTTAGAAAGTGTTCAGTATTTGCATGAATTGAGTCCACAAATCATTCACAGAGACCTAAAACCCGACAATATATTGATTGCACACAACATAAGGAACGCTAGATTTGTAAAATTATGTGACTTTGGTTTGGCTACAGTTCACGATAAAAATGTCAATTATATAACTCGTGATAAACACAGTACAGGAGTTGGTACAGTAAAGTACCAAGCACCTGAAATTTCACAAGGCACAGTATATGGACATAAAGTGGATATTTATAGTCTTGCATTAATTGGTGCAGAATTAATAGATTTTAATATATTTTTTAATGGTCCTGAAAAGTATGTATTAACAAAAAATGGATTTTAAAATTTAATTAAATTTTATTTATACCAACAGTACTGATGGTCTTTATTCCAGTAATGAAATCCTAAACACAAAAATAATTATATTTCAAAACATATTACACTCAATGATGTCGACCCCAAAGTGGTCTCAAAGGCCTGAATGCAGTGAAGTATTGGCGGAATATAACGAGTGGTCTATCGATCGGAATATTCTCGCAAATGATCCCCGATTTGAGTCCACATTAAGTAGACTTCAATCAAATGATAAATTATTTTTCCATCAATTCTTATCGTATTCTTTGCAACAAAACCCGATAGAAATTGCATCAAAACAAATGTTTAAGGATTAAATAAAATTATCTAGGACAATTATTTCCTCATCTACTCATCGTTATGATATATATATAGCGGTCCGCCCTAAGGGTGCGTCGTATGCCGTCTCGATACCCATATAATACAAGAAACCGATATAATGGGGGTTTAGGGGGAGTACCCCCTGTATTAAACACGTGATTATTACAATATGCTGGGATATTACGTTAATTGAACCGTGAATTAAACCGGGTGTATTCAAACATTATAAATATTGTAATTTAAAATCCAAAAATAAAATGTTTTGTCAATTTATTCATAAAAACAGTAAATTAGTATTGAATTTGTAATCCACTTGAATTACTTTTTAAAAATTATTTTAGTTTTACTATAAAATTATCCCTGTCATTATTATATTGTTAACACCAAATTTAGCTGGCGAGTAACTGGTTAGAATTTAAAATAATGTATTTATGTTGAACTTGATAACTTTAAAACTATATATATAAACAAAATTTAATGTTAACAATTTTTTTAGTCTCAAATGGTTATACTTTTTCAGATATGTACTAGGTACAACTTGTAAAAATCTTTAATGGTTTTAATTGATAATTTTCATCAGGGTTATTACTATAAACAATTTAAAAATTCATTCATTATTTATTTGCGTTAATTATTTTTAATGCCAAATAAATAACTTTATATATCAGTCGCTAGAATACGATAAAATGTGTTTCTCATATAAAAAACACTATACCTTATGTATATTTTGTATTCAGATATCATGTTTTAATTTTTATTGCAAAAACACAATTAAGTAGTATTCTGGCCACTGATATGAGTTATAATTAAATACAACATTTCACATGAATTAGTATTATGTTTGTCTCGTATTTATAATCACAACACCTTTCATATCACAATCAAATAGTATTTAAATAATACATAGTTTTTTACTCCAGATCTCAAGTTTTACATACATTTCCCTCATTCTGTGTCAATATTGTTGTGGCAATTAAATAGTCAGTCATTTGGGTTCATATGAATTATATTGCAATCAAAATGTAGTGTTTATTAAAAATAATTATTTATTTAACAACTTAAATGTCACATAAAATCTATGGATAATAAATACCTTTGTTTCCAATGGTTTCTAAATGTGATAATTATTGTTTTAAAAAGATATCGTAATTCACTATATATTCAGACATATTAAAGAATTCATATAAAAGAGTTTGATTTTGTAAACAGAGATGTAAACTATAGTTAGGACTAGAATACAGGCAAACACAGGAAATAAAGCCATTTGACTTTAAATATAATCCAAATCATTTTTATTATTAATGAATTTTAATTTGCTTTAATTAATTTTCAAAGGTATAAGAATTTTCAAAGTTAAAAATTAATTTTCTCTATGTATTCATTTTATACCTGTTTTATTTATTTTACACCTTTACCTGTATTTTATAGAATTTTTACATACACCATCGTATTCTCTGTTAAAATCTCTATTCAATTGATATATCACATGGTCATATTTATTATGAAATTTTTACCCGATAAAAGTGGTCACTGTGCCCGAACCCGAGGTCACAGGACAATATAAATTACATATTCGGACTCCTCGTCGAAAGTGCTATAAGAATTGTTCATAATATCCGTTGTAACAAAAAACGGACTATATGACAAATATGTTGGTTAATGGATAAACATCCTTCTTTAAAAATGGTTGAGTTTATCATACAGAATGAAACCAATCATTAGCATAAGTTATTAAATGAATGCTCTTATGATTGACATTCAATGGCTAAGACAATGATTAGAAAAAACAGATTAATAATTGTTAAGAAATCATAAATTAAATATTATCTTCTACTTAAGACTTTCTCCTAATGAGAAGCTCTATGTTTGCTACAAATGAACTGATTATCAAGGAACATAATTATCAAGGAACATAAAAATCCTATTAAAAGCAAAATTTACGTAAATTGTACTGTCTTAGTTTAGATAAAACGATCAAATATAACAATTGTTATTGATTTTATATAGTCTAGAGATTAGATTACCAGTACATGAAGTAATAATCGAGACATTTGTTACTTCAATTATTACCAGTATATAAAAGCACCTTTCGTTCAATTATTAGCCACTCATCTAATTCTTTATTTGTTTCATTTGACATTCATATTAATTCTTAATCATAAAGTATTATAAATATATAAATTATATCAAATGAAATTACAATTAGTATTATGTGTTTTGTCGGCTGTGGTGTTAATTGAGGCCAAGAGAGGTATTTAACAAATTGAACCCATTTTTGCTAATACACTAAAATTTTATTTTTGGAAATCAGAGCCAAAGTTTGCGCCATATATTGATGTGACGGCAGCGAATGACTTCAAACTAACAGATCTTAAGAACAAGTACGGAGTGACAGCCTTCTCCTTGGCCTTTGCATTGGGAGGAACTGCCGGTTGCAGTCCTATGTGGGGCGGACAGGTGGCCATCGATGACAAGAATATCATTGATAACATCAAGGCATTCAAGGCTGCGGGCGGTGATGTCATTGTCTCGACTGGCGGTGCTTTGGGTCCATATTTAGAGCAAAGTTGTCATTCAGCCGGAGAACTGGCGAATGCCTACAAGAGAGTGCTATCAGTGACCGGATCCTCTCATTTGGACATTGATATTGAGACGACAGTAAATATAGATCTGATGAGCCAGGCGTTAGCACAGGTCCAGAAGGAGATGTCATCCCTTACCGTCAGTTTTACTCTTATGGTTCAGGGGGACGACTACGGAGTGATTGATTCATTAGGAGTACAAGTGCTCAAAAACGCGGCCAAACATGGAGTGAACGTCGATATCGTAAACCCGATGACAATGGAGTTCGGGTCGAGTAAGAAGTCGTGGGGCGACGCCGTCATCGCCGCCGCGGAGGCCACACATAAACAGATGAAACAGGTTTGGCCTCAAAAGAGCGATCAGGAACTGTACTCTATGTTAGGGGTGACCCCAATGTTGGGCAAGAACTTCAACGGCAAGATCTTTAACCAGGATCACGCCCGACAACTCGTCAATTGGGCCAAACAGAAACAGATCGGACACNCTATAAACAATTTAAAAATTCATTCATTATTTATTTGCGTTAATTATTTTTAATGCCAAATAAATAACTTTATATATCAGTCGCTAGAATACGATAAAATGTGTTTCTCATATAAAAAACACTATACCTTATGTATATTTTGTATTCAGATATCATGTTTTAATTTTTATTGCAAAAACACAATTAAGTAGTATTCTGGCCACTGATATGAGTTATAATTAAATACAACATTTCACATGAATTAGTATTATGTTTGTCTCGTATTTATAATCACAACACCTTTCATATCACAATCAAATAGTATTTAAATAATACATAGTTTTTTACTCCAGATCTCAAGTTTTACATACATTTCCCTCATTCTGTGTCAATATTGTTGTGGCAATTAAATAGTCAGTCATTTGGGTTCATATGAATTATATTGCAATCAAAATGTAGTGTTTATTAAAAATAATTATTTATTTAACAACTTAAATGTCACATAAAATCTATGGATAATAAATACCTTTGTTTCCAATGGTTTCTAAATGTGATAATTATTGTTTTAAAAAGATATCGTAATTCACTATATATTCAGACATATTAAAGAATTCATATAAAAGAGTTTGATTTTGTAAACAGAGATGTAAACTATAGTTAGGACTAGAATACAGGCAAACACAGGAAATAAAGCCATTTGACTTTAAATATAATCCAAATCATTTTTATTATTAATGAATTTTAATTTGCTTTAATTAATTTTCAAAGGTATAAGAATTTTCAAAGTTAAAAATTAATTTTCTCTATGTATTCATTTTATACCTGTTTTATTTATTTTACACCTTTACCTGTATTTTATAGAATTTTTACATACACCATCGTATTCTCTGTTAAAATCTCTATTCAATTGATATATCACATGGTCATATTTATTATGAAATTTTTACCCGATAAAAGTGGTCACTGTGCCCGAACCCGAGGTCACAGGACAATATAAATTACATATTCGGACTCCTCGTCGAAAGTGCTATAAGAATTGTTCATAATATCCGTTGTAACAAAAAACGGACTATATGACAAATATGTTGGTTAATGGATAAACATCCTTCTTTAAAAATGGTTGAGTTTATCATACAGAATGAAACCAATCATTAGCATAAGTTATTAAATGAATGCTCTTATGATTGACATTCAATGGCTAAGACAATGATTAGAAAAAACAGATTAATAATTGTTAAGAAATCATAAATTAAATATTATCTTCTACTTAAGACTTTCTCCTAATGAGAAGCTCTATGTTTGCTACAAATGAACTGATTATCAAGGAACATAATTATCAAGGAACATAAAAATCCTATTAAAAGCAAAATTTACGTAAATTGTACTGTCTTAGTTTAGATAAAACGATCAAATATAACAATTGTTATTGATTTTATATAGTCTAGAGATTAGATTACCAGTACATGAAGTAATAATCGAGACATTTGTTACTTCAATTATTACCAGTATATAAAAGCACCTTTCGTTCAATTATTAGCCACTCATCTAATTCTTTATTTGTTTCATTTGACATTCATATTAATTCTTAATCATAAAGTATTATAAATATATAAATTATATCAAATGAAATTACAATTAGTATTATGTGTTTTGTCGGCTGTGGTGTTAATTGAGGCCAAGAGAGGTATTTAACAAATTGAACCCATTTTTGCTAATACACTAAAATTTTATTTTTGGAAATCAGAGCCAAAGTTTGCGCCATATATTGATGTGACGGCAGCGAATGACTTCAAACTAACAGATCTTAAGAACAAGTACGGAGTGACAGCCTTCTCCTTGGCCTTTGCATTGGGAGGAACTGCCGGTTGCAGTCCTATGTGGGGCGGACAGGTGGCCATCGATGACAAGAATATCATTGATAACATCAAGGCATTCAAGGCTGCGGGCGGTGATGTCATTGTCTCGACTGGCGGTGCTTTGGGTCCATATTTAGAGCAAAGTTGTCATTCAGCCGGAGAACTGGCGAATGCCTACAAGAGAGTGCTATCAGTGACCGGATCCTCTCATTTGGACATTGATATTGAGACGACAGTAAATATAGATCTGATGAGCCAGGCGTTAGCACAGGTCCAGAAGGAGATGTCATCCCTTACCGTCAGCTTTACTCTTATGGTTCAGGGGGACGACTACGGAGTGATTGATTCATTAGGAGTTCAAGTGCTCAAAAACGCGGCCAAACATGGAGTGAACGTCGATATCGTAAACCCGATGACAATGGAGTTCGGGTCGAGTAAGAAGTCGTGGGGCGACGCCGTCATCGCCGCCGCGGAGGCCACACATAAACAGATGAAACAGGTTTGGCCTCAAAAGAGCGATCAGGAACTGTACTCTATGTTAGGGGTGACCCCAATGTTGGGCAAGAACTTCAACGGCAAGATCTTTAACCAGGATCACGCCCGACAACTCGTCAATTGGGCCAAACAGAAACAGATCGGACACTTGTCCTTCTGGTCCATCAACAGAGACAGAGGCTGTGCGGGTAAACCCGTGGGCCCCACCTGTTCCAGCATATCTGAACAAGATCACGAGTTCACTAAAATATTTGTTGGTTTTAACCAATAATTTATTCAATAAAACTTATACATTAATTACTTTTTAGTTTCATTCAAAAGTTATATAATTGTTATTTCAGTTACCGTAAGAACATATTTGGATTTATTTGTGTAAATGTTTTATTAATTATTTAATTTCTGAGAATTGCATGGAAATTGTTTTCATAAAATAATACCTTTATGTTATCATAAGATTAGACATATTCCCACCATAATTCGTACCAAAGATTATTCCTACAGTACAATAGTGTATACAGTATTATGGACATTTATATAGCAAGTTTAACAAATAATTTAACAATAATTGTAATACAATCATTTCAAAATAGGGTAGAAATCATTGCCATTTAAGGTCAAACGGAATGACGAAAAATACATTTTTCACTCATAGATTAGATATTCTGATAAATACTATATTTGTTGAAACTGTTTATTCTCAGAATATTAGTGTAAAAAGTTGTGACTACGATAGGGAACGGAGAGATTCGTGATTTGTAATACTGATTACATAAAAGGTTTAAAATGATGGCTTAATTGTTAATGACATCTCAGACATCAAGTCTATCAAATAATGAGTAAAATCATTTGACTTGAAAAATCTTTTGTTTTGAAAGCATATGAAGTGTTTCTCGAAAGAAAGATAAGATTGTGTAAAGAATTTATCGTTTGATACCTTATATAAGCATTGAATAAATAAAGAGTTGAGTCAATTTTATAGTCATTTGATTTTATTGCACAATTGAAATATTAATTCATTAGTCATTCAAATACACAAAAGTTATTTGAAATGAAATTTGAATTAATATTAGCCGTCATTTCAATTGTGAGTTTAATTGAAGCAAAGAGGGGTAAGTAGTTGACAGGAATTCATATGAATTCTTGCATTTCTTCACTCAATACTAAAAGTTATTTCCAAATTCAGAGCCAAAGTTTGCGCCATATATTGATGTGACGGCAGAGAAAGACTTCAAATTAGTTGATCTCAAGAATAAATATGGAGTGAAAGCCGTGTCGTTGGCATTTGCTTTGGG